GCTTGCTGAACACTATTTAGAAGCAGTCTGATCTTTAAATAGCCTTCTCTATTTTATGACCCCACTGTTCTACCTACAGCGGCAGGTGGGGGTGAAGCACCCACCATGTGAGGGGAGAATATTGGGTGTAGTCAAGAGAATGAATATCTTGACCAAATAGTGACTAACAGACCATGTGCCTAATGAATGGGGAGGCCTGTGGCCTCTTCTCCCACTCAGCAGCCAGTATCCTAAAGGTTTGCCTTTCCCTTCTGGCTAGAAATTGGAAGTTTAGTTTTGGGAATCTGTTCAGTCTAAGAAGAAAGCCCTAAAAATACTATCCTTAGAGGTTCCCCAGTAAACTTTTCAACCACATCACCCTACAATAAAGCTCACTCTTCTGTACTCATCGTGTAATACCTTTTTAATCTTCTACTCTTAAATATAAGCTGACAAGTATTATCATACCATCTAAAGAATGCACTTACTGTGGAAGACAAAGACCAAAACAAACAGAAAAGAATAATATGGAGGAAGCAGGGAAGGGAAATCTTTTAAAAATTTAGCTCTGGCTTGTGTGCCTAAATGGTTAGAGCATCCACCTGGCCCTGTGCATGAAAGGGTTGTGGGCTTGACTTCTGGTCCAGGTTACCTACCTGGCTTTCAGGTCCGATCTGGCCCTGGTCGTGGCGCATGTGGGAGGCAATCAATCAATGTGTCTCTCTCACATTGATGTTGCTCTCTCTCCTCCCCCTCCCTTCCACTCGCTTTAAAAATCAATGGAAAAAATATTCTTGGGTGAGGATTAACAACAACAAAAACTATCATTTCAGAGAGAAAAGTTATTTGAAGCATAAAACAAGATAAAAATGCTAGAAAAATAAAGATTTAGAGAAAAAGAAAATCTAGGGTTAAAAATAAATCTGAGGAACCTTCCCCCAAAGGGCAAAAAATACATAGGAAATGAAATGAAATTGAAGTCCAGACTAAAGAGCCAATACTCTATAACAAAATTTTCCAAAAAGAGAAAAATGGAGAGAAAGAAGTATCAAAGAAATAATGTACCAAAAAGAGTTTTAAAAAACTTACCTCTTATGCTCCCTTTCTGAGAAAGCTACTAGATGATTTGTTCCAAAAAAGTTAGGGAGTCAAATCAAGAAAGGTTATATGGGATACAGGAGATAGGAGACCCATGACAGGGGAAAGATGGAGATTATCCTCTGGACGATGATATAGAAAGTTTTTGTGGGTGATATCTGTGTGGCTGGCAGAGGGTAACTAGTCTATGTTGAAAAAGGTTAGAAGGCTCCAAAGGTGACTTCTTCAGGAATATAAAATTGTCAAAATGTCTTATGTGTGTGAATATCTTGAGAGTAGATATAGACAAATAGCTAAATGTTTGCTGTTGAATGAGTTATGTGTATATAGAAAACTAAACACTTAAAACAAAAGATAAGTTCTAATTCTAGAGAAACAAAGATTTGTGTAGTAAAGGAATTATAATATACTAGAGGCCCGGTGCATGGATTTGTGCACTGATGGGCTCCCTTGGCCGGGCCTGCACCCTCTCACAATCCAGGACCCCTCAGGGGATGTCAAAGGCCCAGTGCGTGAATTCGGCCCTATCCCCACAGACCAGGCCGAGGGACCCCACAGGTGCACGAATTCGCGCACCGGGCCTCTAGTATGCATATAAGATCTTTGGTTAATCTCTTCCCGCCCTTCTTTGTTCCCCTTTCCCTCTGCGATTCATCAGTCTATTCCATGTTTCCATACCTGTGCGTTGATTGTCTGCCCCCTGGTGGTCAGTGCATGTCATAGCTACTGGTTGAATGGTTGAATGGTCATGTAGGTTTTTATATATATACTAGAGGCCCAGTGTGCAAAATCGTGCAAGACCCAGACCCACCTTGCTGACGGGACCCCAGACCCGCCCTGTGTGAGCCGTAGGCCCCACCTCCGCGACACAAGCCACGGGCCCCACCTCCGCTGCGCCAGCCCCACCAGCTCCGCGGGGAGCGGCGAGTCCCGGCCCACAAGAGGTGCTCCATGCACCTCCTGGTGACCGGTTGTTTGGTCGTTTCGCCATTACGGTGTCACAACCACAGGCCTTTTATGATATAGATAGATTATTATACATTTGTATCAAACTATATGATATGAAACAATCAGAGTAAACTCTAATGTAAACTCTGGGCTTTGGATGATAATGATTTAGTGGTGTAGGTTCATTGATTTTAATAAATGTACCACTCTGGTGTAGGGTTTTTACTAGTATAATGGGGCAGGCTGTGACTATGTGGCAGTAGGGGGTATATTGGAAATATCTGTACCTTCGGCCCCATTATGCTATGAACCTAAAACTGCTCTCCAAAGTCTGTTATAAAGCTCAAAAATGAGCCCACAGAAATTTAAATTCTGTTGAGACCTCCAATATTTGTAAAACTTTATATTCTGTCCTCAAAAATGATATATAGCTTTTCTGGGAGTATAGTTTTACATTGACAATCATTACCTTCGAAATTATGAAGAAACCATTTCATTGTTTTTCTGATTTTTATTGTTGCTATTAAGAAGTCTCAACTAAGTTGGATTTCTGCTTCTTTATAAGACCTTTTGTTGTTGCTGCTAATTGTACTTTCATCTATTAGCTTCTTTATTTCATAAGGATTTTTAATTTGGAGACTCATGTTCTTCATTACTGCAGTTTAAAAAATTTATTAGGTTGTTTCCTTGTCCTACCCTTTTCTGTTCTTTCCTTCTGTTTTCTTTCTTTCTTCTTTTTTATAAAAAACATATTGGACTTTGTATTTATCATTAATTATTCTTTTCTCTCCTATTTTTCAGTTTTTCACCCTTTTAAATATTATCCTGTCTTGTTTTATGAGTATATATCCTTTTTCATTCTGGGCTTTTTTTTCAACTGCGTAATTTCTAGTTTCTCCAAAAATTTTTACTTTTTGCCTTTTTAACTTTTATGTTTGAGTTTTCCCTTGGGTTTCAGTTAAATCTGGGCTTTCTGCTCATGTTTGTGTGCTGGAGATGGGTTGGTGGGTTTGAAGATGAAACTTGTTGACTGTGATCTTTACTGTAACAGGACTGGGATGGACTGTGAATTTGGGGACCTCTGAAAAGAGTGTCCTCAGGACTTCTGTCTGGGGAGAACATTGTTCCACACTAACTTGGGCTCCAAGTTTAGGGAGGCATGGAATTCTCAGCATCTGTGTGTGTGTGTGTGTGTGTGTGTGTGTGTGTGTGTGTGTGTATTTCATGTGATAAGTGATATCACTACGACTCCCATGCTGGATAGTAAATGTTGACATTTTGTGCAAGTACACATGCATTATCTTTCTTGGTTAAATATCATCTTGCTGGGTATTTTCTATTAGTTCCATCTGTGCTTTTTCTCTCTGCCTTTGTATTAATATCTTATTTTTTATAATTTCATTTTATCACTATTGATTTCTTATTCATAACTTAAAAATGTCTGTTTAGTGATTATCTGTGGCCTCAGTTCTGGGTTCAAGAAAAAGTTGTGCTTGTACAGTTTACCTGCTGTTTCTTTTCTTCAGAAATGAGCATCATTTTTTCTAACTTCCCATATCCCAGAGAAAAATGGAAGTCATCGTCAATGTTCTTGTGACACAGAAGTTCAAATGCAACTTGTCATGAAGCATGCATTGTTTGAACTCATTGTGAAAGCAAGGTTTTAATGTCAAAAATTACTAAAAACTCCATGAATAGTTGTAATATCATTCTATCCAATGAATGAAAAGTTTAGACTAGTCTTTCTGTCAAAATACTTAGCCTCTATTTCTGGTATGTATTTATACCTGACCCATAATTTTTCATGATTCCCAGTGATCCTGGAGACTTTATGCAATTCACAGGCTGTTGCCATCTTGTCTAGTACATCACATGGTTGGCAGGGCACAGCATCAAGTAATATTCTTACCCCACCAGCTGGGATGGCAGGAGTAGCTGTTGCTATGGGCTCCTCTCAGTATTCACTTTGTGAGCATGTTGAGGGCTGTCCCCAGGTGTGCTCAGTATCCTGCCTCTGGGAAGAGTCAGGAAAAACGTCATTGCTAGTCATCTTTGGGATTTAACCACAGGTTAAAGAGAACACGGTCACTGTACATACATCTCCCTCACATACTGATAGATGAGATTGTGCAGATGCTGGAAGTACAAAATAGAGGTTTTCCTCTGCTAGGTCTTTCCTGAAGCCCTCACATAGCATTAAGCATTTTATCTCCTGACCTACTTCTAGATTCTCTTCTAGGGCTACATCTGTCACATTCGGTAGCAAAATGTTTGTTATAAACCAGTCTCCCCTTCTAGACTTGAGTCCTTGAGGACACAATAAATGTCTCGTTTATATTTATATGGTGTCACTTAATACAAAGCATATAATAGGCACTCAGTATTATTCAGCTAAATTATATTATGTTGGTCATTTTAATGATTCTGCTTAATATGCTTTAAAATGTTGTTGTTTATATATTCCTAAATGTATAAAAGACCTTTGTAAAACTGTGTCCAGTTTCAGAATAAAAATATAAATAATTTTAAAAGGATGTATTGATATTTAAACTATTCAGGTGAATGAGAGACCTATGACCTACAACTATAAATTGATATACATATAAGGTAGGGGATTTGGAGTTTTATGAATACATATATTTGTTAAATCAACTTATGATATGGAAATCCTCAGGCATTTTAGAAACATGTTTGGAAAGATAGCTTATGAACAAAAGAAATTAAATATTATGTTTATCTGACACCTGAAATGACTGAGGAAGTTTGAGACTCTTACAATTGAAACATTCCTATTTTCTACTGGCTTTTAGGGCATAAGGAGAATTATTTTATAACTTGAATAATCAGTAGCTAATCAAAGAGCTTGGAAATTCTCTAGGCTCTTCCTTTTTTCTATGTAATTGATTATACAATAATTGATTAAATTTTCCTTCAAATTTTATTTTAACTTGTTAACTCCTTTTCCCCCTACCCAGTGTAGTGACTATGACCTGGAATTTGGAACTGAATGTTTGCAACTGGCTCTAAAATACTGTCATGTCAAAGCCAAACTCGTGGAAGGATCACCTGATCTCTGGAAGGTAATGGAGTTGGTACTTTGTTCTGGGAATTGTCTGTGCTTATGTCATTCCTGAAGACACATGTTGCAAGTACAAACACCTTATACAGGTGCTTTAGAAAACGGGGAAGTAGTATAAAAATACTTGGTTTCATGCTGAAACACTTTCTGGAAGAAAAGGTGTGTGTGTGTGTGTGTGTGTGTGTGTGTGTGTGTGTATGCCTACACTAAGGGATTTAAAAGAGTTTCACTGGATTTTCTGAGCCATCAAAGTATGGTATCATTTCTATTGTTTGGTTTTAAGAAAATTTACTTTGACACAATTTATTTTTAAAAATCTAGTTAGCCAGTAAGACTGCTTTATTCACCTTTTTTTTCTTGTTCTCTATGTGTGTCCTTTTACTCTATTTCCTTACACTCAACTGGATTTGAGGATAGAACTCTGCTTTCCACAATAGTCCTGGGGTGGGAGTGCCAATTTTTTTTGGAATTATGATCTTGAATTCTAAAGGGGAATGTAATGCAATGGATTGGGCAAAAAAGTATTTCATATGACAGTTATGAGGCCTTTTATAGATATCACATTTCTTTTCTTAAGTGAGGTGACATTACTTAGAGTATAAATATTGCAGTTGTTTCTGGTTCCCTGTTTCCTTCTCCTGCCTCCTGTCATTCATTATCTTCTACCATTATATCTATATATATAAAACCCTAATATGCAAATAGACTGAACAGCAGAACAGCTGAACAACCAGTCGCTATGACGTGCGTTTACCACCAGGGGATATGTGCAGAACATGGCAGGCGTTGGCCACAGTGGGATAGTGGAGCAGGTGAGCGGGGGCACCAGTCCAAGGCAGGGTGCCAGTCGCTGTCATCGGGGCGAGCCTCTGGTGATTATTGAAAATTCTTTGCTCCCCTGCACCGCAGTCCCACCCGGTGCTCACACCTGCTGCCAGCACTGGCCCTGCTTGCATTTGATGCTGGTTCCGGAGCTGCCGCTTGCACCGACTGCCGGTGCCTGGTGCCGGCCTCAATCGCTCAGTGCCGTCAGCAGGTGCCAGCGGCAGCTGCTGACCCCGATCACCCCTCAGGTCTTCTCCACCTTCCCCTGCTCCTGAGGGGTGATCGGGGCCAGCAGCCGCTACTCATACCCACTGCCGGTGCCGGCCCTGCTGCTCACACCCACTGCTGGCGCCGGGCACCAGTTCGAATTGCTCGGTGCCTTCAGCGGGTGCGAGCGGCAGCTACTGGCCCCAATAGCCCGTGAGGGCTTCTTCACCTCCCCCTGTTCTTGAGAGGCAATCGGGGCAGCAGCTGCTGCTCGCACCCTCTGACGGCTCCAGCCCCACTTGCACCCACTGCTGGCGCCAGCCCCAATTGCTCTGCGCCATCAGCTGGTGCGAGCGGGGCCAGCGCCATCAGCGTGTGGGAGTTGCGGCGGCAAGAGTGGGACTGCTGGCAGATGGGACTGGGGGCTGCGGTGGGAGGGGTCGGGTGGGGGCACAGAGGATGGGCTGAGACCCGCCCCTGTGTGCCCACTGCAGCCTCATGGCCCACAGTTCCTTTCAAGGTACGTGAATTCGTGCACTGGGCCCCTAGTTTTTTTTTTTTATAATTTCCCAGCTTTTTATTTAGCCCTATTTAGCCTCTTATGATGACATTGTATGAGATGTCTTTAGTATAGGCTTCTAATTTATTAATTTTATGGTATTACCATTTTGTATGGATAAAGATTATTTCAATTGCTTTTAAACCAAAACAATGGAATATACGCTTTGACATTAGTGTTCTAATTCTATAATAATTCCGATGATTCTACCATTGGCTAAAACTCGGATTTGAGAAAAGATTTAGTACTGGACTTGGGTGGCTGTGCCAAGTACCTGGAGCATGATTCAGAAATCTGACACAGTGACAAACACATCTCAAGAGGCATGGCACTACCAGAAAACAGCAGGGCCAGGACACCTTCCCCTACCTCTCCGAAGTCAGGGTGTTCACCCTCTCAGTGGTGTGAGGAATGACTAGGACTGTTACTCTGATACCAGAAATCCCAGGAGGGTTATTATTTCTGTATTTTACATACATTTTTTTTTTGGTAGAAATAAATGTAAAAGGTAAAATTCAGAGTTGATGCCAATGTTCTTGCAGCAGGTACCCTGGGGCATAGAGGAAACATCAGTTTTTTCAAATCACCCTGCAGAGAGGAGGACATCCCCATAAATGAGCCACCCCCTCCCCAAAGAGTGACCAACCACAGAAGAGAACAGGACTGACTCCAGGAACAGGTGTTAGCTCTCATGCTTTCTGAGTGCTGGTGCCTTGTCAGGCTCAGTGAACACATTCTGCACTCAGTGGAATTCCATCTCGCCTATAGGACTTCCATCTTTTTAATGTATGGATGTGCCGTGTTTTTGTCCCAATGTAATTAAATATTTGATCACTGACTACACTGTACAGATCTAATTGAACAGACTTCCTGTTTCTAAATGTAAAACCATCCTCAAGGCTTGAAAGATTTATAGGAGTTTTATAACCAGTTATTTAAGAAATTCAGCTGTGTCCCGTTGTCTGAAAAGGCTTCTTTAGGAGGAGTTTCTGAAGCGTTTGAGTCATCATAGTATTACTCAATGGAATGGCTGACACTTGAGGATTCCTTTTGATGTGAACTTTCTTTTTAAGAGCCAAGTGTTCTAGCATCCTTGTTAAGAACCAAAGAAACAAAACAGCCTCACTTTTTGCCTTTTTTTTTAATCTCAAAAATACACTGTGGTGGCATAATTCCTTTTTTGGAGGTTTTCATCTATTCAGTCTAGAGGAAAGAATATTTTCAACATAGATGTAATTGATGAAATAGAAATAAATATAATAAATATCCCCTAGTCTACGTTTGTATCTAGTAAACATCATATATCTTTAAATATTAAGATTTTCTGGATTCTAATTACTGGAGTTACATATTCATTTCCTCATTCAGTGAAAGGTGGGAGAACATTCAGTGTAGTATAACTTAACTCATGTAAGATGATAGCCAACTGGACTTGGCCCTGAAAAGTCTCATTTACGATGTTGAGTGTTAATGCAGATGGAACAACACAAAGTAGGTGTGACAGTGTTTGCGTTTTTTTGGTCCTCACCTGGAGGTAGCTGAGAGAGCCCTGGCCTAGTAGTTGGAAGAAAACTATCTCTGTGGCTCTCAGTTTCAAGTTTTTCGTCCATTGACAAAAGTACATATATGTATGTATACACATGTATACATGCATATGTGTATATATGTATGTATATTTCGTGTGTGTGTGTGTGTGTGTATCCTAAACACTTTACCCAGATGAAATATTGCAATGAAGCACAGTCGAGCTACACAGACAGAGCTTGAGCTTCCCTAGGTGAGTGGCAGGTGTGGGGCTCAGACTCTCAGCTGCACAGAGCCCCTCCCCTGGAGTGCAGGTGGCCCCTGAGGCTCTGAAGCCCCTGTGTGAAAACAAGTAAATCAGAGGACCAGGGCTCCCTCCCATCACTACAAGGTTGATTTTTTTTTAAAAAGTAACTGTCATAATGTGTCATGTAAAGACAAAGAAAAACTGTAGGTCATGCTGACAGAAGAAAACCAACTTCAAAACTGATCATTAAGCTGTTTTTGAAATTAAAAATAAGGAAAGGGCAACCTATATTACTATAAGAGTCTGACAGAAAAGGAGTAAGTCATTAATTCAGAATTACATTTCCCAGTACTTTTCCCTTTGATATATATTAGAAAAAAGGGCTGTTTTAGACTCAGTACTTAACAAGTTTAACAGGAATATTTTGTTATTTATTTTATTACAACAGTGTTAGAGAAGTATTGCTGAGTTATTCAATAAGGCTTTATGTTGAAGATATTAATAAAATACAAAACCTTTAATCAGCACATAGTTGGTATTCACAGCCTATAAGAAAAAAGTAGACAAAAAAAGGAAATTTAGGACTCTTTCTTGTTTGCACAGTTAATTATTTAATAATAGTGGTGAGAGGACCTTTGGGTAATAAAGACATGTATTTTATTCATAAAACAGACTCCAATGCAAAAATGTTGTCTTGGAAGTATGCTAGAAAAACATTTTAGTATTTGAAACCAAGTTTTCTTTTAATTAAAACCATCAGTAAGATTTATTTGAGAAAAAAAAAGGGACTTTCACAATTCTATTTTAAGTTGGAATGCAGTCTTATCCCTCAACAAAAGCAGGAGGGGATAGAGATGAATAATGGTAATTAAGGTAATTAACCACCTTCCCATTAATTTCTAAGTTTATCCTACACAGTGGACAAATGTAGAAAAAAGGCATTTTCTCATTTAAATTGCAAACATTGAATCTTGATTTCAGATACCTAGCTAACTTTGATTTTTCAAACAACTAAAGAAAAACATTTAACACTTTCTTTTGGAGTTTTATTTATTTACTTATTTATTTTTAAAATTTCTTTATTGATTAAGGTATTACATATGTGTCCTTAGCCCCCCATTGCCCCCCGCACCTCCCCCCTCATGCCCTCACCCCCCTGTTGTCTGTGTCCATTGGTTAGGCTTACATGCATGCATACAAGTCCTTTGGTTGATCTCTCCCCCTTACCCCCACCCTCCCCTACCTTCCCTCTGAGGTTTGACTGTCTGATCAATGCTTCTCTGTCTCTTATAAGAAAAATCTCTCCACTAAAATGTAGTCCACTCAAGTGAAGGAGTTTTGCCCATTCTTTTGAATCCTCTGTTGCCCGCACTTAGAACAGGTCCTTGAATAGGACCTAGAACACAGTAGTTATATGGAAAGTATTTGTTAAATGAATGAATGAGATCAATACATCCTTTAATTTGGTAAAATGCACAGCATGAACTTTTAAATGTCTGTTTTCTATTTTTTTCCAGATAGTAGATCAGTAACTATAGTACTAGTTTTGGTTGGCATGTCCTTGATTTAGAGATAATGTAGCAATGTCACATTTAATTTAAATAGATTAGTTGAATGCTTGAGCAACTTCTCATCTATCTTACAAATTGACTGCTACTTTAATTCTGGATTGTAGTTTTGGGCTAGGATTTATCAGCCAGGATAAAGGCATAGCGCAGGAATCTATTTTGGGTAGAAGTGCCCTGGGCCACTTGAGCTGAGCAAAGTTTCTGTACTAGTGTAGTTATGAGATAATTTGGAGGGGAAAAATAATTTCAATTGTAGGCATAGAAAGGTACTAATTTGGTGAATACTTCTCAAAGTGGGTTTTTAGACGATTTGCATTCTAATCATCTGGGCACTTGAATGATGAGCTCCTAAGACCTTATAGTATTTATTGGTTAGTTCACTACTTACTACATTTTCAGTTCTATGGTATAGGACAGCTGTGGGCAAACTACGGCCCGCGGGCCGGATTCGGCCCGTTTGAAATGAATAAAACTAAAAAAAAAAAAAAGACCGTACCCTTTTATGTAATGATGTTTACTTTGAATTTATATTAGTTCACACAAACACTCCATCCATGCTTTTGTTCCGGCCCTCCGGTCCAGTTTAAGAACCCATTGTGGCCCTCGAGTCAAAAAGTTTGCCCACCCCTGGTATAGGAGAACTATTCTGTGATGCAGTACACCTGACATGTTCTATATCTGAGCTCACTGATGTGGCCTGGACGATCTGCCATAGGACCATGTCAGGTTACATTACAAAGAGCCCGTTACAATTGCAAGGAGGCTGCGTGTTTTTAAGGAACGATTGTGATTATTCTCATGCACATGGTGGTGCCTTCTCTGCTCTTTTTATCAGAGCCATAAAATCCTCATAAGGTGAACCTTGTGGGTACATACAGACATCCTCAATTCAGAAGAAACTCCCTTCTTAATGTGAATTGACCTTTGAGAATTTCCTCATTTCAACTAAAAATGTGATTTGGTGATTTTTGTTATACTTACCTTTTCTTCCTTCCTAAGTAAAAACCTCACTATTAAACAATAATTCTAATACTTTAATATAAACACTACCACATATTCTTTGATAAACTTCTGTTACATTAAGAAGAATTCAATAAACAAATCTTTAACCATTTGTAGAAATAGAATACATTATTCAGAATTTGCTGATGTTGATGTAATTTAGAAATTGTCAGTATAATGTGTTTATAGTTTCTCTAAAATCAAGAATTTCCTTGGGGGCATAATTTTATTGCTCTCACATTCCTTCCTGCTCTGTTAAGTCTAATGAAGTTTATCTGTCCTTTAGGTGACCTACAAACGAGATTTGTATGCAGCTGAATCGATTATTAAGGGTATGTTTGGCCTTGTGACTCTCAGTTCCTGTGTTTCAGAAATGTAAGCCAGTTCAGAATTTCTCATGACATTTTAGATCTCAGAATTCTCAGAAGTATAAATGCCCGTAGGCCATGGAAGTCTGTGATTTGCTTTTTTGAAAAATAATTACATGTTGCTTTGTTTCCCGCTTGTGAAATATCACTTATTATGTGTGATTTATGTCATATTGGTCTTACTTTTTATAGAGGAAATGCTTTATTAATTTGAAGAAAGTATGGGACATTGGCACTATTCAAAGTAGAAACCAATATTTTAGTAAATTTATAAAGATTTTATATTTTACTTTTACTGTTAAGAGGACTGATCCCCCATCACTATAATATCAGTACATTAGAAAGCGTCTTTCATATGAAAATATTATTCCCAAAACACAGAGATTGGACTTACTGACTTTTTAAATTTTTTTCTGGTTCTGACAATGACTAATTTTGTTTGGTAGTTTGAGACATTACATGTATAATAACCCCTTTCTCATTCTTTTTCATTTCTATTACTCCAAGGCCCCAGCTACACAGAGGTAATTTATTTAATAATCAACAAGTATTTATCCCTGTGCTTCACACTGTGCTTGGAATATAATGATGCCTATACAGAACATCAATTGCTTAAAGCAAGGTTTCCTGGCCTTGGCATTGTTGGCATTTGAGGTTGGGTAATTCTTTGTTGAGGGCACTGTTTCCTGCATTGGGTGTTGGGCAGCAAGCCTGGCCCCAGCTCACCACATACAGAAGCACTCCTCCCTCCCTCCCTCCCTCCCATGGTGGGAACACCAGAGGTGTGTTCTGGGGGCAGCACTGTGTGAAAGGCATGGTCCTGGCAGAAATCAAGGGGGTCCACCCCCAGCCCTGAAGCAAGTGCAGTGCCTTTCAAGGTCAGTAACTGATTTCTTTAAACATAGATTGAGGACAGAACTGTGTGCTCAGTTTCTGAGAGGTGAACTTGTAAACTTGTTTGAAAGGTCAACTTGTACATTCAAACTTGGAAGTTGAAAACGAAAACGAAATCTGAATTCTGAATGCATCAGTCTATTATAAAGTTTTGGGAAAACCACCGATTTAACAATCAAAAAACTGAAATCTTTTTTCTGGTCATGACATTCTTTATTTATAGTTTACCCTCCAGGTTTTTTGTCCTTTAGGAATATTGTGTTTCAAACCATTAATGTACTGTAATTTGTGTATGTGTATCTGTGTATATAAACAGATCACCTATAGCTATAAATCAAACTGTTGACATATATTTACATATGAGCCAGGGGATGTGTAAACATTACTTTGGAGAAGTTGGCTAAACCATGATGTGGTTGGGTTACATTCTCAACACAAGGAAATATAAAACTCAGTTTGGTTTCTTTACAAAGCCCTATCTCTGTTAACTAGGTGAAATGGAAATGATCTATTTTGTGACTAGTTGGTAAGTGGTTCTATACACTTCTGCCTCTATATCCTCAGAGCAGGCTTCTTAGCATGTCAAAGCCTACATTTTAAGTGTAATTGCAGGGCCTATAGTTTTGGTAATTGCTTGCAGAGAGAAGTCAGTTTTCTTATTTAGGTGACATAGTCTCCTAGACTCCTTTTATTTTTAATGTATTTAAAAAGTATTCTACTTTTATTCCCAGGAAAAGTCTGCCTGGATGTAAACAGCCGATTTAGATCAACAATCTCCCAGCATTTCCTTATGCCCCAGGGTTTGCTTTTCTAATAACTCCCAAGAGATTCTGATGTTGCCAAGTCACAGTGAGGACCACTGCTCTGGGGCCTTCCTACTCCCCGTGTGGGTCAGCAGCCTTCTGACTCCCTGAGAACTTGAATGCAGAATTCTGGCCCCATCACATTAAGTTAGAATCTGCATTTTAACAAAAACTCTGGCTGATTACTTTGTACATTAAATTGAGGAAATATTCCTCTAGGTTGCTCTTCATTGTTCATTTCTTTCCAAATAATATATCTGTGAATTAAGAGCTTGGCATCCTAGTACGTTCCATCAGCTCCACATGCCTGTTCGCTCCGCTGAGATTGCCACCTGCCTCCAGGACGTGCACTAATACCACTACCTCTGAGGCCTGATGGTAGAAATACCTCTGGGAAGAGGAAAAAGAAAACGCTTAGATTTTTAAAAATAAAATTCCAAAATATGATATGGTATAGAGCCGGATAACTATCTGAACTCTGTATTCACCTGTTTGTCTTTTCCTAGTAAATGTTTAAAGTATTTTTCTAGGCACTTTCTTTACACAGTATTTATTGGTATTTACTTTGTGCCAGGCATTGTTTATAGCATTTTGTATGGATCATTTCTTGCTTCTCCAGGAACTCAGTGATGTAAGTAGTGTTATTGTTTCCATATTACACAATATCCAAGGTTTCTAAGCTAATTCTAACTTAAGAGGGATAGAAAATACATTCTTCAATCCAGGTTTCCACGTTAAGCAGTTTACCTCTTCATAATGTTACTCTCCCTTTTATTCCTTAAGTAGAGATTGTTCAGATTCCCTTGTCTGAAATCCTTGGGCTACGTGTGTTTTGGAACTTGGAATACTTTATATTCTCCAAAGCTACTGCATCACGCCACTTATTATGTCACATCATCAGTGGGATTTGGGACCTCACCACATAACAAGACTTGCAATATGTAAATGTTTACGTTCAATACAAGGGTAATGGCTATTGAGCCTCTAGCCAGTTCAAGTTTAGGACTGATTTGGCCACCAAATTTATATATTGAAACAGTTTAAAAAATTTATTTTAAGAACTTTTTGGATTTCAACATTGCCCATAACTTGATGTGAACCTCTTTTAGGTTGTGAATCAGTGAAGGTGGGAAGAATGTCTAGTCTTTTTTTCTTTTGCATCTTCTAACATTGAGTTGAATTGAATTGAGCGGTATGTCCAAGGGTGCAGCTACACATGTGTTTTCCTTTTGAGTCTGGGGACCTTAAATTGTGGGAATAGGTACATGGCCATTCCTTCTCACCTTTCTACTCTACCTTCTTTCAACAGATGCATGTTGAGGTCTAGTGAATCTATCCCAAAATCATATATCTTTATTTTTTAAAAATAGAGAGGCTATAATATTTGATTATGCATTTTTGTCAAGGTGTAAAACCATGGCATGTACTTTATATATGTTATCCTCATTTATTCTTTATAATAACGCTGTACAATAGATATCACTGCTCCCTTTTACAGGTGGGAACACTGAGACTTAGAGGGCTTTGGTACTTCCTCTGGATCACACAGTAAGAGCCAGATCCACAATTCAAACCCACATCTCTCCTTTCCTTAAGTGTGACTCCACTCTGGATCTTGGGCACTTTGTACTTCTGAGTCATGGAGCTACTCATGGTCCCCACTGAAGTGAACACTGGATTCAGCATCTCTCTTTGGAGGGTACAGCAGATGGCTTGAAAAATTCAGCCTGCCCAACTCTGATTCTGTTGGGTTAAAACTGTATCTTCAGTTGGCCTGATAAAGAACAATAACACAATTGAGACTCAAAATGTTTTGCACCAATGCTGGGACAAGCACACGGTAGTCTTCTAGATAGCTTGGGCAAAACATGTAACATTGAAATGACCAGAGAAAGAGAAAAGATTAAAATTCAAAATCAAAATAATAATTTTAAAAGGATTGGTTGGGTACTGTTTAGTTTTTTCCATCTTGTGCTAATTCCGCCAGTTTAGCGTTTGTTATCTAGCCGTAATAGTTTTTCTCTTATAGGGTGGAATTTTTTTTTAATGATGTGATATGGGTGCCTAGTATTCTGTAAGTTTTCCTCCTGAGCTGCTTTTTTTAAACCTGATTACCAATTATTGCTGGTTTAAAAGTTATGTTTTTAATTAAAAAATGTTTTTATTGATTTCAGAGAGAGAAAGGAAGAGTGAGAGAGGGATAGAAACATCAATGATGAGAGAGAATCATTGATCAGACGCCTCCTGTATGCCCCCTACTGAGGATTGAGTCCTAAACCCCACATGTGCCCTGACCGGGAATCAAACTGTGACCTGGTTCATGGGTTGATGCTCAACCACTGAGCCACACCAGCTGGGGAAAATTATATTTTGATGTAACTATTTTCAGTTTAGTTTTTACAGACTGGATAAAACATTTCTTTGTTAAGTGTCATGTCTTGCAGGAGCATTTTATACTCTCAAATGTACTTGTCAACTGGAACAGCATGTATATTTTGGTCCATCTTAATTTATGTGCAAGTCTATATCTTTAGTTCAGTATGGGAGGTTTTTTTAAAAGTATGTTTTTATTGATTTTAGAGAGAGAGGAAGGCAGACAGGTAGGGAGACAGAAACATTGTTTAGAGAGAAACATCTGTCTGCTGCCTCCTGCATGCCTCCTACTGGGGATCGAGCGCTCAACCCTGGCATGTGCCCTGACTGGGAAGCAAACCTACGCCCTCTTGGTTCATGGGTTGATGCTCAATCACTGAGCCACACCAGCTGGGCAAATATGGGAATTTTGATGTAACTAACTTCAGATAAACTTTTGACTAAGATTCCTGAATTGTGGTTTATAGCAAGTCTCAAAATTTGAACTTATTTCATGTTGTTAGATAAGCTTTATTTTTAAGTTTATTTTAGCACCAATATATTCAGCTGGATTTTTATTTGTAGTAAACTATTCAACAATAGGATACATGTATATAAAGTAGTACCCCCATATTTGTCCTTTACACAGTCATCTGCAATGAAAAATGTACAGTTAATCACATATTTACTGTTATGTCACACAACATTCTTAATATTCTTTTTTTTTTTGAGGCAGAGAAATGGACTTGGCAATTTTTCTTTAGTTTTTATCCTTTTTAGGCTTCTATTATGAGTGAAATTTAAAACATAAACTTTTCTAGGGAGTAATGTGATTAATTGGGACAAGACACTGGGCTGACTGGTAAGTGTGTAAACAGCCACTTAACAAAGAAAGTTTTGTACTTTTGTCACACA